ACTAGTCACTATTAAAGGAATTATTTAAAAAGAATGTACACATCCAATTCCAACAACTCTCATACGACTATTGAAATATATTTATGCGCTGTCATACAGTAAAATTATATACGTTAAGCTTTCGTCTGTAATAATACAAGTGTTTCCATGTGGTTCCTTTAATACTCTCTGAAAACCAAATACAATGCATGCTTTTTTATTATCATTAGTTGCAAGTTATTTATTTTCTAGTTTAAGCTTTCGAGAATACTCCTTTTCTTTTGGATGAATTGTATATCTTTCGCTCTGCTCATCAGTAACTTCAGACATTTTCTTAAATTGTTGGCAAATGTCCCACTGATCCTTTTTTGGAACATGAAAGCCTATCTTTAAATTTGCATTGACTATGTCGTTGTATTGACTATTATAATTATTTTCTGCACACCATTTTGGATAAATTTTGAAATTTTTTGAAAATGATAATGAGGGATCTAAATATTTTATACTTTTACGTTTTCTGACGTAGTAAGATTAAAATGATTTTTTCATTTCATTAGTAACTACCACATTATGGTTCTTATGGCGACTTCTGCCATCAAAGAAATCGTTGAAATCTTGACATTCGTTATTTTTTTGTAAAGCAGTATAAACAAAATCCTTTCTTAGCTAAAAGAATTTAAAAATATAGTTGTGCATACTTTTTTTTAATGTAATTTCACCATCATTTGTCTTTATTGGAAGATGATACAATATATATGACACGGGGACATTTTTCAGTCTCATGAAAAATGTTTAAAACTATCAACAATTTATAATTATTACACAACCATGAAATCTGGCTAAGTTTACCAAATATCAGTAAAATAATACTACGATATAAGTGAAGTAACAAAAATCTTTAATGTCTAGAATAGAGTATCTGAAAAACTCTTCTAGCAAAAAACTATATAGCATTCATTACAATATGATATAAACCTATAATATAAACTACACAATGATATCAATAGTGTTTCGTAAAATCACAAAATTAGAACAATATAATCTTTCTCAAGTTTTTTTTTCAAAAAGTTTTTACAATTATCACACGGGTTATCTTCTTAAATAAAACAGTAGGTACATTTCTAGGAAACTAAATAATATTGGTATTTTTCTAGTAAAATTGACACGAAATGTTTCTTAGAAACTGTAGGTAAAACAAACTTTAGAAATTCATGTATGTAATTATTTTGTTATATAGCAACAGTAACAAATCACGTAGCAAAATAGTAAAAAAGTTAAAAAAAGCTACATAATTCTCTCTAACCTAGGTACAGACACGAGCACAACAACCTACACCAATCTGTCAAATTTTCTCAATCGAACATGAACCTTCTGCTTTTGTGATAAAGTTCAAAATCTTTTAAAGAAATTTGACAGGTTGGAGTGGGCTGATGTGCTGGCGTCTGTACATAAGAGGTCATTGCAATACAAAACCTTTCTTACACCTTATAAATAAATATTCAACAAATAAAATAAACCAAATCAATATCGGTACTCAGGTAATATTCTTTAGAGGCTTTCTCCCGTTGAATCAAATTTACCTTTTTGACGATAGAAATATTGATCACTATATCAATATCTAATTTTCTGTGGACTTCAAACTTAACGGATTCTGATAAATCCTTGACAGTTTTCAGAAATTTTACCTTATAATAATTTTCTCCGTTCTTAAATTCTATATTCTCAACAAATCCTATAAAATATTTCCACGTTTTTCTTTGGAAATATCGAACTATTATACTATCATTTTTATTTAAAATAATGTTCTGCGTATTTTCCTCATACTCGATTGTTTTTTTTCCTTCATTTGTATTCGATTCCTTGTCAATTTCATCTTCTTTTAAATTCTCAGATTTGTTTATTTTATCTAAATCTGTTTTCTCTATTTGTTTTTGCACAAACTTTCATTACAGCTCTTTTATGTGTGTGGCCGTTAGCAGTTTTGACTTCAACTACTCTCACTTTTCCATCTTTACCAGTGTAAGTATTTCTGACTCTGGCTAGGGGCCAGTATAGTGGTGACAAATTGTCATCCCTTAGGATCACCAATGCTAGGAGCATTAATAATAAAATAAAGGTAACGAAATAGCGAGCTCCTCCGAGAGATGGTACCTCCATAGGTCCACAGACATCTGAGTGAATGAGCCTAGCTTTGCTTGTGCTCGAGATCCTTCAGGAGGAAAAGGTATTCTTGATTGCTTTCCTTATAGACATGAAATACATATTATATTACCTTTTCTTTATTTTCTAACTTGATTCCTGCAGATTCTGTTAGTTTATTTAAATCTTCAAAATTTAAATGGGCCATTCTCTGATGCCATAGATAACAATCATTGTCTTTTGATGCGGATATGTATGCTGGAACGCTGTGAGTATTTAGCCTGTACATATTATTTATCATCTTTGCAGCGGCAACTTCTTCATTGTTTTTGTTTATTATCTTGCAACCTTTCTGATCAAACTGTACTTGACATCCATTTTTAATGATTTGACTAACAGAAAGAAGATTGGTGGCTAGCCCAGGAACATAGAGAACATTCTGCACTTGAATTGTATTCATCTTGCCATTGCTACTGGCAACATTTAAATTTATCTTTCCGCAGGCTTCTACAAAAAGTTTCTTATCATCCGCCACCTTGATGGTAATAATCGGAGGTGGGTTTTTATCATAGAGCCAATCATTGTGCATAGTCATATGCATTGATGCTCCAGAGTCTATGTACCACCCATTATCATTGCTTGTTGTTGCAGAAAATACAGTAACATAATTGGTACTATTGTTACTATATATTTCTGACTTTTGTTTCTTATTTCGACAATATTTACTTACATGCCCATATTTATTGCACGTATAACACCTGGGACCTTAAGACTTATTGATCTTGTCTGAAGCTTGTTTGGCAGTTATTTCCTTTGCTTTTATTAACATAATATAAGGCATTAGATTTAGAGTTTCTCACATCTTGAAGGAGTTTAGTTTTCACAGAGTCAGCTGATATTGCCACACCGGAGCTTTCGAGGGCCATAATCATCGGCTGATAGACCTCGGGTAAACCAGCTAGGAGCAAAGTTCCCAGTCATTCATCATTTACATCAAAATCAATATTTCTTAATTTATGTGCGGTTGACATAATTTTATTTATATAGTCTTCAATGTTTTGGCATGTTTCTAATTTTGTGGTTATCAGATCTCTTAATAAGCCAACTCTGAGTGTCAATCCTCTGTCATCAAAAGCCCTAGATAAGTTAGTCCACACTTCTTTGGCAGTTTTGGCCTCTTGTATATATACATAGTTTATGGGATGAACTAATAAAATAATTTTGGACTTAGCTTTCGTATCTTGTTTGACATTTATTTGTTGGGAATTTAGATATTTATAAATAATAAAACTGCAGATCGGGTGAAAAATGCGTGTGCTCCGTGTAATAATTCTCTTGTCCAGTAATGACATTAGTGACATTGACAGATAAAATTAGACAATTAATATTTTTGGAATAGCTTCTGGGCTTTTGTCCCATACAGATCAAAACTTAATGTTGTGTTGCCAATATATTGGCGGGGCAACTGGAAAATTAAAATGATAAGTACTTATTATTAAAGTATGCAAACATTGAAACACCCTATTAATTCACATAGACAATATAGGTAATAAAGATATTAGTATTAACAAAAAGACAAGAAACAAAATTTGTTATCTTATTGACATTAACTAAATTAACAAACTAATTGAAGTAACTAAGTACTAAACAATGTAACGGATAGGTACAACATTTGTTTTGTTTATAAGACAAAAACGTTATCATTATTATTATTAAACTAAATGAACTTAAACTAATTATATTAATTACATAATAAACAATGTAGTGTAAAGGTACAACTTTTTTTTGTTTATAAGACAATCATTATTAACCAGCACCACTGCATTCCAGCGGTAGAACACAAACTTTCATTACAGCTCTTTTATGTGTGTGGCCGTTAGCAGTTTTGACTTCAACTACTCTCACTTTTCCATCTTTACCAGGGTAAGTATTTATGAATCTGGGTATACAAGGATTTCATTCATGAATATTTAAAGCAAAAACATGGTACATTAATTGATATAAGTCAATATAACCTATCTACTGACCCAGTGTGCTTTTTACCACACCACCCTGTACTTAGGCTAGATAAAAAGACAACAAAATGCCGGGTTGTATTTGATGGGTCTATGAAAACAAGTACAAAAACATCTTTGAAAGATTTATTACTTAATGGTTATAAAAAATGTTGAGGATGAGCAGGGAAACTCCTTGATTCGATTTTGGTATCGTTTATTCTGCTGTCCATAGACGAATACAAGTAAAATCTAGAACACTGTTTTTTCCATACATACAATAATAGATGCCCTCTAGTGGCAACAAGTTAAACTAGGTACTTACATTACAGTTGTCAGTAAAGCGCCATCTGTTCGAAACGAGTGGGACCACAAGAAAGAGCCACTTGGTTCGTACAGATGTGTAATAAGGAAATATGTTGTTAGTAGTTGGTTTCAGCCTCCAACAGATGGAACCACCAACTACTATCATTCTACCAGCCAGCATAAATCTAACTCAAGTAAGCTGATACATTATTTATGTTATGAACAAGCTAAACGGCAGCATGTTAGGCTAAAAGGTAAACTAACTTTAACCCATTAGAGGCCAAACCCAAAACTATAAACAACAATCGCGGACTTGAACCGCGAATCAAACCAGAGCAGAAATAAATAAGGAAAAGAAACCAGATATGTAAACGTTTGCCAAAGCTACATTAATGATTAAATTTAACAAAAATGTAATGCGACTGCTAATGGGTTAAGCTTAGATTGGACAGAACAAAACAATTAAAAAATACAGAAATCTAAAACGCTAGGTAGTTAGGCTAATTAATTTACTTAACATCAAATTCAACTCAAGTTAAATGCCTATCTGAAGTACAAGGTATCTTTTTATTAACATTATACTTAATCTATATTAATTGGTAGTGGACATAGATGAACATATGATCTTTTTATTTCGCATTTGGAAGTTAACACTGTCGCGACTCTAGCAACACTATCACGTCCGTCATGGGTTTGTATGATTCGTCCCAGCTTCCACTGGCAGGGAGGGAGACGGTCATCCTTCACCACCACCATCGTGCCCACGGAGAGAGCTGGGCCCTTCGAGCTCCGCCACTTGGTACGTTGTTGTAGGATCCCGATATAGTCGCGAGACCATCTTCGCCAGAAGTCCTGTTGAAGCTGCTGTAGCTGCTGGAACAGCGTGAGCCTGTGGGCGGGAACATCCTTGTACTCATAGTCGGGAACGGTGGTTATAGCCCTACCTATCAAGAAGTGAGCTGGTGTTAATGCGGAAAAGTCATTAATATCTGTATTAGACAAGGGACACAATGGTCGTGAATTTAAAATTCCTTCCACCTGTATAAGTACTGTTACAAATTCTTCATAAGTCAGAAGTGCTGCAGCCAAAACTCTTTTTAGAAAATATTTACAACTTTTTACAGCAGCTTCGTATATCCCGCCCATGTGCGGTGTGTAGACCGGTAAAAAGCTCCATTTGATGCCGTCGTTACTAAGTGAGGTCATAATTTCGTCTGAACTGTCCCTTAAAAATTGGTAGATTTCATTTATCTGGTTGCTAGCGCCCTGGAATGTGGTACCATTGTCTCTTACCATTTGCTGTGGTTTACCTCTACGGGAGACGAACCTTCGGAAGGCAGCTAAAAACGACTGGGTGTCAAGACCTGTAACCAACTCAATATGAATTGCCTTGGTAGCAAAACAAACAAACAATGCGACATACGCCTTGTAAGTCCTGGCCCCACGTCCTCTCCAGGTCGTCAAATTAAATGGCCCTGCATAATCTACCCCTGTTGTTGAAAACGGAAGGGAGGGGGTAACGCGAGATGCGGGCAGTTCACCCATAATTGGGGCGCTAGGCCTGGGCTTGGCCCTAAAGCACGTGACGCATTCGCGTGTCACCTTATTTCCTAATACCCTTACCATGGATAGGCCAGTAGCGTTCGCGAATCGATGCCAGAAGTAACTGCGGCCCAGCATGCATGAGCTTTATGTGGTATGACTGAACTATAAGCTTGGTAAGTATGTGTCGGTTATGTAACAATATAGGGTGTTTCTTATCGTGAGAATATGGAGAATTTTCAATGCGTCCACCCACTCGTAGTAGACCATTTTCCATATAAGGTTTTAGGCATAATATATTTGACGTCTGTGGCAGTGGTTTGTCTTTCTTTAATGTGAGATGTTCATTTGGAAAGGATTCGATCTGAGCTAACATGATAAGTTTATCGTGAGATTGTTTCAACTCCTCAACCGAGAGGACACCTAAACATTTGTCCTTGTTTTTTACATTATTTAAGAATCTAAGTACATAGGTAAAAACTCGTAACAACCTTTCATATGTTGAGTATTTTTTAAACAATTTTTCCATGAATGAAAGTGATTGGGGTTCCGTAGTAACACAAGAAATAATATCTACCTTATGTTGGTAATTACATTCATTCTGAGGCGGCCAGTTATCAATATTAGGTTGTGACAACCACGTAGGGCCTTGCCACCACATGGTTGTCTGTGCTAACTTAGCCGCTGGAACACCCCTAGATAAAAGATCAGCTGGGTTATCAGCGGACGGAACCCAATGCCAGTCGTCCGATTTGGTGTAATTTATAATTTCGATTACTCGATTTTTTTACAAATGGTATCAATTTGGAAGGCGTATTTGTCTTTATCCATGCCAATACAATATTTGAATCGGACCATAAAAACATTTTGGACGATTGAATATCCAAAACATGACGAACCTTGTGCATTAAGTTGGCTAATAAATGAGCTGCTCTCAACTCTAATCTAGGTATAGTTTCATCACGAGCGATTCTCGTTTGCGCGCATAATAAACGCACTAATACGTTACCGTTGGCATCTATAGACCGTAGGTACATAGCTGCCCCGTACGCGGTCATTGAGCTGTCCGCAAAGCCGTGCAGTTCTATCAAAACAGATTCAGGGATGATAACGTGTCTAGGTATCATTAAAAAGTTTACTATAAACAGGCTATTATAGAAATTACGCCATTCTTCCTCTTAAGAAAGAGGTAGTTTCTCATCCCAGCCGATGTTATTTTGCCATAATTTTTTTATGAAACATTTCGCGGTTATTAAAATTGGTGCGATTAAACCCAGTGGATCAAATATTGCAGAGGCAACAGATAGTACCTTCCTTTTGGTTAACGAATGATTAGTCAGTTTGTCAATAAACAAATACGTTATAAAGTCGCTTTGGTTACACCACTGTAGACCTAAAACCTTATGTGGGTTTTCTGTGTGTAGTTTTGTACTAGTGTGTTGCGAGTCATATGTTTGTGAACTAGTGTGTGTGTCGTCGGTTTTATTAACAACCTTTATAATGGCCTCCAAATTCGATTTCCACTTTCTAAGTTTGAAGTTCGCGGTCCGTAATATTCTGTCGATTTGAATAGCCGTTTCGGCAACCTTCTGAGCGTCATCTCCACTATGAGCTAAATCGTCAATATAGAAATTGGTTAATATTGCAGTCGCCGCTTCCGGGTACTGTTCCCGAAATTCATGCACGAGTTGTTGTAGACATCGAGTGGAAAGGTACGGTGCGCACTTCAAACCGAAACTGAGTGTAGTTAGTGTGTAGGTGTGCAGCGGGTGAGTAGGGTCTTCGCGCCATAAGATACATTGCAGGTTGTGTTGGTTAGGGTTGACAAAAATCATACGATACATTTTTTCGATATCCGCGCAAATAACAAATTTATGTTTTCGAAATCTCAACATAATATTAATTAATTCGTCCTGGTTCATTGCACCTTTATATTGTATGTCGTTTAGGGATCTCCCTGAGTTGGTTTTATGGGATGCATCTATTACGACTCTAAGGGGTGTGGTTTCCTTTTCCAGGTTAACCACAGCATGGTGAGGTAGGTAGTTACAGGGCTCATTTGAGTCTCGTTTAATCATATGCCCTGATTGTTCAAATTCTTGCATAAACCTGACGTATTTTTCCTTATAACCTTGGTCGCGAGAAAATTTGGATTCTAACGATTTGAAACGTTTAAATACAGCGGGTTTGGAATGACCTAACAAAGAAATGGGTTCCCTAACAGAATGGTTACCACAAAGTTTCCATCAGGTGTGCGTGAATGGGTCTCAAATATCTTTTCACATTGAGCAATATCATCATCTGGACACTCTGTTGTACTACTAAATTCACCAAAGTTTGGGTTACTGGTTTGAACAAAATTGCATCTAACAGCCCTACGGCTAGAAGGTACATAGGCCGTTCCCGACACGATCCAGCCCAATCGTGTTTTTTGTAAAGTTGGCAACCCTACGCCTAATCTATACTGGTTATTAGACAAAAGATCATAAAATATCTCGACACCTAATATCATATCGATATCACCGCCTTGATAAAAGGTTTTGTCTGCCATTCGAAAATTATGTGGGATATTAAGTTGTTTTACACTTTCGACATAAGAAGGCAGTTTGCAAATCATAGGCACAATGAAGAAGGACAAATTGGTAGAAAATGCTTCACATTTTGATTGGATTGTCAGCTGACAATTGTGGTTAATCTGGGTCACGCTTTCGTTAAACCCTAAAACCTCCATATTTACACTATTTCTAGGTAAATTCAACCTTTTAAAAGCCGACTCCGTTATAAAGTTGGATTGCGAGCCCGAATCGAGAAGTGCACGCAAAGTGTGCTGGTGATTATTGACGTCGAGTAGATCAATCAATGCTGTAGATAAGAAAACAGTTTGTTGTAGGTATGGCTGTGTTAAATCCATATTACGGCTGGTATGCAAATTAACCGATTGTTGTGGGGTCTCAATACGTGATGTTGGAGTTGTATTTGTGGCGGGCTGTGGGTTAGTGTACAATGTAGTTAGTGGTTGCTGTTGACCTTGGCTGTTTGATTGGTTATTAGCATGATGGGAATTTCCTATATGTAAAAATGTATGATGTTTACCTTTACAGGTTCAGCAAAGACTCGCCCGGCAGTTTGCTACGATGTGGTTCGCTCCCAAACAATTAATGCAAAGGCCTATTTTTCGGACTGCGCGAAGGCGTGACGTCACATTTAGGGCCAAGAACTTCGGGCAGTATTGAATGTAGTGAGACTCTTTACAATAAGGACATTGATTGCTAAATACCTTAGGTTTAGGGGATGGTTTTGGAGCTGTACCATGACCCGGGGAGGACGCGATCACTAAGGCCTTCCTTGTTCCATTCGCTTCCGGTTGCTCATCCGGCCTGTCAGAACCCAGCTTCATAAGTGGATTCTACGACCCACTAGGTCTTGCTGGACCTATTGTGGTAAGCGCAAAGGCTATAATGCAACGCTTATGGCAAGAAAAATTGGACTGGGGTCGGTGCCAAATTGTGAACTGCTACAGCTTTGGCACAAGTTTTATAATAGCTTGCTTACAATGCAACCAATGCGTATACCGCGACATATAAGTGTGCATGACGTAAGCTTTACACAAACTATAGGGTTTGCTGATGCGTCTAGCAAAACTGGTTATGGCTGTTGTGTATATCTAAGAGTCGTGGATTCAATGGGTAATGTCAAGATATCCTTGCTTTGTTCGAAATCACGAATAAATCCCATTAATAAGAGTTTATCAGTTCCTCGACTAGAACTTAATGCAGCTCTGTTGCTGGCAAAGCTTGTCAGCAGAGTTCATCACATATTAACTGTTAAAATGCAAATACAGGATATTATAATTTATTCTGACTCACAAATAGTATTAGCTTGGCTCAAAACTAACATTAACACACTTAAAGCTTATATAGCGAATCGCGTTAAGGTTATCTTACAACTTACACATGGTCATACGTTAGCTCGAACGAGAACCCCGCCGATTGTCTTAGCCGAGGAGTCATGCCAAACGAGCTAGATCATGACCTGTGGTGGAAAGGGCCTGCGTTTCTGCATTCACGTGAGTACAAGCCACAATTAAATTTAATTTTGCCACAGGATTTACCAGAGGTTAGCGTCGACTCTGCATGCTTAAGTGCAATGCTTTGTACTACTTCTGGTGAGCAATCGTTATGTCTCGATTTTCTTGAAAAATTTTCCGATATCAATAAAATGACGAGAGTTTTAGCTTACATCTTACGTTTCGTTCAGAATGCAAAGTCAAAATTAGTCTCTAAATATAAACTTAATTATATTACAACTCAGGAACTTGATCTGTCATTGTCAATGATTCTAAAATATGAACAAGAAAAATATTTGTCAGAAGATATTCATGCCTTAAAATGTAAGAAAACAATTGTTGAAGGTAATTTAAAGCCATTATGTCCGTTTATCGATGATGGGGGGTTGGTTCGCGTGGGCGGCCGATTACAAAATGCCTCCATTCCCTATACACAGAAACATCCCATTGTCTTACCTAAGGATTCCCGCATCACTAATTTAATTATTGTAAGTGAACATTTAAAAAACCTCCATGCAGGTTCAAAGCTTGTTCTGTCATCAATAAACCAAAGATTCTGGATTGTGAACGGTCTCAGACAAGTTAAAAAAGTGTTTCATAAGTGTACTGTTTGTTTTAGATTAAAAGCCGAATCAGCAAAACAGTTAATGGGTTCTTTGCCGCCAGATAGGGTCAATGTATAACGCCC